AAATCCCAGGAGGAAAATGGAGAAGGGATTGTGGCATGGCCACTCCCCCTTGGGGAGTTATTTCTCACTTTCCCTCTCTCCATCTCTGTTTCTGGAGAGTACACATGTCCAAAGGAAAAAATCTAATTTTTTAAAAAATATATATATAGGATAGGTAAAATGCTGATAAAAAAAAAAAAAAAAAACTTTTGATAAAGAGGATCAGCTGAAAACTATACTGTTCCCTGGCCAAATAGGTTTCCAGCCAACTTTCAGGGAATGCTTCATTTATTCCTGTTCCTACTGTAACATCATATATGAAATACAAAATATTCTTTCATACCCTCATCACTGTCAACCACAAGTACTTCTCCTTCTTCTTCTTCTCCAGGTTTAATAACCTGAGTTTCATTTGGTGGTTTCTCTTGTTGAGATTGTTCTTCACTGGGCTTCTGGGCCTTGGAGGAAGGTGGGCACAAATAAAGAGTACTGTTATTAATACCATGGCACACATACACATTCTATGTAGAGATTACTAGTCATGAATAAATCTGAAGAGGTTTTTCCCTTTCTTTTCTTTGTAAGTACTGTTAAGATTACTCTTACTACATAGAAATTACTCTCAGGAAGAAGTTACCTACAAAGACCAATAGTAATTCTAGAAAACATTTTATTCTTCTCAGGGCTATGTTATTTGTTAATAATCATGACTGGGAAGTTCATAGGGCCTATTTCCAGGCTCATGTATGTGTGTGTGTGTGTGTGTATACATCCAGACAACACCTAAATATACATCTACTTTAACTATTGATAGTAAAATACTTCATAATTTTGAATGAGATGTCTCATTCACGGGATTACTTTTGAAAGTTTTTCAGTAGGAAAGTCCTTTATACAACAAAGTATGTAGAGTCAATAACTTTTTCGTTTTTTTTAAATTAATTTCTGCAGATGGAAATAAGATGTTAAGGCACTCACTGCCACTGGTTCAACCAGGCTGGGAGACTTTTGACCATCTTCTCTTCCTCTAGATCCTCTGGGTCTAGACCTTACTCGTGCACTCATGCTTTACACTGAAACTAGAAATTTGTGAATGAAAAACTAAAATAACAATTATACTTAGTAAAAATAGTAATTAGTAGTAAAAATAATAATAATACTTGACAATTTCCATGGCAAACTCATTGTAAATTATTTTTTTATATTTAGCAAGATTTCCAAAATAAATTGTGAGTCAGTAACAACTACACCTATTTTCCAATCACATCAAATAAGGCTATTTGTAAATCCCTTTGTTGCTCTCAGAGCCAACTTGGCAGAGAAGAAACCTTCAAGTACTAGATTAAAAAACAGGGGCTGGAGCCAGCAGATGGCATAGCGCTTGTGTTTCTGGACTTCCACATTGTTGATCAATTCGAGTCCCAGACCTGGTGGCCTAATACTCATGCCGGGCACATGTGTGCATGCCCAGGATCCCAGGAGGAGAACGAAGGTGAAGGGATTGCTGAGTGGCCCTCCCCCCCCGGGGGAGTTATTCTTTACTTTCTCTCTCACTATCTCTCTCTCTCTCTCTCTCTCTCTCTGACAAGCACAAGCACTCTAAGGCAAAAACCTCTAAAAACAAAAAAAAAAGGGGGGGGGGGTTCCTCGAAGATTGAATTTCATACCTCAATGACATTATGAAGAGATTTTGTAATATAAAGCCATAACCAGCTGTGCTCCTCTACCTAGGCCCCCACTGAAAACTCCTGAACCTGTCCTCTGTTGGTTCCAGGCACCTCAGACACCACCTTCACCTGACCCCTCCCCTCCATGGCCCACCTTCCTCCCTGTTTCAGTCCTGCCAGTACAAGTTCTCTGGCAACTGCACAGTCCAAGAGAAGGAAGGTGCCTTCAGCTCTGAGGTCCTAACTCTTTCGAGGCCAGGAAGTTAGGTCTCTTCCAGGTCCTAACTCTTCCACCGCCAGAATCCCACTGAGTCTTCCTCACATTCACTCAGACTTAAACCTCAGGAATAACTGATCTGCTACTGGCTGAATCTCAGAGGTGGAGAAAGAATCAAGCCCACAGGAACATAACCTGTACAACTTGGTGCTTAGCACATAGTTATTAGCACATGGTACTCATCAGCCAACAAGAAGGTGCATAGTGGGCATGGGGCTATGGCTCCCCATCTTCTCAGTCTCCTAGGTCCCCAGTGAACACTTCAGAGTCTGTCCTCTGTCGGAGGCCCTAATGACTCTGGAACTTACCTGCCTTCATCTGCCCCCCTCTTCTCCACAACTCATCTTTCTCCTTTGTTCAGTTCCCATCACTACATGACCCATGGTGGCAGCACCACTGGTGCGGACAAGAACAACCTCAAGGCCCTTCGTTCCCTGAGGCAAAGACCTCACTGCTCGACCCCCCACCAGAATTCCACTGGTTACTCTTAACATTTAAGTTTCTGTGACGATTGATCAGACCTACCAGCTGAATCCCAGGAAAAAGATAAGCCCCCAGGAACACTACCTGCACCCGCAGGGCTCTGCACTCACTGTGCACACACACCAGCCAATCAGAAGGTGTGCAATGGGCATGCACACTGAGGCCAGCATCTGCAGCACTCGGATTCCTGCCCCCCTCACCTACCCGCATCCCCAGGTCCCCACTGAGAACTCTGGAGTTTGTTCTCTGTCAGCTAGTACAGGCACCTCTGGGACTCAGGCAATACCAACAGCACCCCAATACTTGCCTGCCTTCACCTGCTTTGCCCCCCTCCCCTGTGGCCCACCTCCCTCCCTTGTTCAGCCCTAGATGGCCTACAGCAGCAGCACCACCTGTGAGGACAAAGACAACGACCTCAAGACCCTTAGTCTTCAGAGACCAAAACAAAACCTCACTGCCAGACCCACAGGTTCCTCCCCACACTCACACTTAAACTTCTTGGAGGACTGATCTGCTGACCTACTGGCTGAATCTCAGAGGCCAAGAAATAGACAAGCCAACAGGAACTCTACCGACACAGCTCCGCAATTTACCACAAGCACACCAGCCAATCAGAAGGTGTACAATGCGCTCACCAAAAAGACAGAAGAGAGACAGAAATTGAGAAATCACCTCCCAGGAGGGATGGCCATGCCACAATCCCTTCTCCTCCATTCTCCTCTCTGGATCTTGGGCACGCATGCACACACACCCGGCATGAGTTTTAAGCCACCGGGTCCGGGGCTTGAAGGCTACATGGGAGTCCAGCGATATAGCTATTATGCTAACTGCTGGTCTCCCCCACCCCCCGCTGAGGATTCTAAAGACTATCCACTGTTGGTCAGGCAAATCCAGGCACCTCAGAGACTTCAACATGTCCAAGAGCACCCCAACACTCATCCACCTTCACCTGCCCACTCTGCTCTGCTGACCACCTTCCCCGCTTGTCCTGGTCTGACAAGATTCTAGGAGACTGCACCACCTGTAAATAAAACAACACAGGACCACACAACCCAACTCTGCCTGGAGTTCACTGACTTATTTGCTTACACTTATGTTTACTCTTCACCCTTTAACTTAAGCAGAAAGCCTGGTACAGAATCAAGAAAGGAATAAAAACAGCACCCACCTTGAGTTGCTGCCTAAACACCACTTATGCAAGGTTGACTCCACCAGCCAATCAAGAGCTTACATTCTGGAACCTCAGAAGTGCACGTGGTATCATCCAGGTGTTAGCAATGGGGGTGTGTCACGTGGGCTATCTTTCCTGCCCACCTAACCCCTAGCAGTTCCATTCCACCTGGGGGTGGGAGGGTGCATGCGAACTTCCCAGTGCCAGAAGAGACATGTTCTTTGCTTCTTACTCCCACACCAGAACTTCACGTCCTTATGTATGTGGGAATGGTTCCAGCCCTACATTTCACTGGCAGATTTACTCCTTTCAGTGCCATTGCTGTCTTGGTGACCCTAAAGAGATATTTTAGTCTCCCCAGGAATGCATAATGCTGTTAGCCTCTGAAAGAGCACAAAGACATTTTTAAAATAAATTTTTGCTATAAGGTGCATGCACTCACTGGGCAGAATGAAAGTAAGAAAGCACAAGGGGTTTAGAGTGTGGCCACACTACAATTCCTTCTCCTTCATTCTCTTCCTGGGATTTTAGGCATGGACATATACCCTGCATGGTTTTGGTTTTGTCTTTGTTTCTGAATTATTTATTTAACTTTACTTATTATTATTAAAATTTGCTGCAGGGCACATGCACTCACAAGAGAGAGAGAGAGAGAGAGAGAGAGAGAGGAAAAGTGAGAAAGCAAGCCATCAGGTCTGGGACTCGAACCGCTGTCAGACGTGTTAAGGTGTCCAGCACCTTAATCACCATGCCACCTGCAGCCCCCACAAAGCCATTATAAGCATGATCTGAATCCAGAAAAAGGTGGAGAAAAGAATTGATAAATTCAAACACATAAACAAGGCTTAAACATTGCACAAATCCTGTGATCCAGCATTTCTTAGGACCCATGTTAAGGAAACCATATTGGATGAAAATAAAGATTTAGATACATGGGACTTCTAAAGCATTTTAGTTTATAATGGCATGATCGTGGACTTGCTATATGAATAAATTGTGGCACATTGGAAAATGAAATCTGGCTGACCACCAAAACCAATGTTGAATAATGTTTTCTGTCCCAGTGGTGCTGCTCACTTGAAGTTATGAACTCAAAACAGTCAGTTATGCAGCAGTGTGTATGTACAGCATTATCCTGAGAGAAGAGAGAAGTTTTGGAAAATCTCATTGGCCTCTATACCCCCAACCTTCTCAGACAGTAAGTGTACTTTGTTCTCCTGCACTTTCTGGGACTCCAGAGACAGATAGTTCTCAAAATGTAACCCAACAGATAAACTGCAATCCTCAGTCTCTAGCACCTGGTTGCACCTCAAAGGGCTTTACCACCACCTAGGTGGTGTGGTTCTCTACTGTCAGAGAAGGGGTGGGGTGAGGGGGAGTGCCAGTGCGGTAGCCCACTGTTTCTGCTTTGGATAAACAAAGGTAAGTAGGTGCCTAAGGGACAGAAAGAAGCTTACCCTGCCCTTCCCTGCCCCCTTACCAACCTCTCCAAAAAAAGCTTTCAGCCCTCGCATGTCCAGGCAGTTCTCAGACCCTTCGAATTACCCTTAGAGAAGCATACATTGAGAGTTAGAATTTAACTACCCTGTGGTAATAAAATTGCCAAATTCCCTGTCTTTCACCGATACAGAGTCAACAATACAACCAAGTGTAAAGAATATGTCATTCTGGGAACCAGCAGTTAGCGTAATGGCTATGTCGCTGGACTCCCACGTAGTCGACCGCGGTTCGCGTCCTGGACCCGGTGGCTTAAAACTCACACCGGGCGCGTGTGCGTGCGTGCCCAAGATCCCGAGAGGAGAATGGAGGAGAAGGGATTGCGGCGTGACCATCCCCCCGGGGGGTGATTTCTCGCTTTCCGTCTCTATGTCTCTCTCTGTCTGTCTGGCGAGTGCACGCGCCCTATAGCAAAAATCTCTCAAAAAAAAAAAAAGAATATGTCATTCTTCCTGATTTCACCAATCAGGAATAACCATTTTTAATATCTAAGCAAGAGCTGCTCCTACAGCTTAGATCTCTCTATTGATGAAGCCAAGACTTACTAGGACCAGATGGTGATCCAATAGTAGAATGAAAAGCTCTGCAAGGCAATCACACCTGGGAAAGTTCCCAGTTTGCAATGGGAAACTTCTCTGAGTTCTTAGGCATGTGCTTGCCCATGATCTGGGGCTGGCTGAGACTGGATTGCAACATCAAGACTACATTGGGGTGCTGTCTATCTATCTCTCTGTCTCTTCTGTCAGAAAAGGGAGGTGTCTCTCTCAGTCATGGAAAAAATAAATAACCTTTAAAAAAGAGTTATTGAGAAAGACTGAGTTCTCACACTTTGCAATCAGCATGAATTACCAGCTCTAAATTCAGCCTCTTGTTTCTCATTAGGTAAAATACTTTCATTGACTCTTAATTGTTTCCTGTTACCTCTTAGAAAGATTATCTGCTGTGTTGTCTTCCTGACTGGTGCTAATCTGCTGGCAGCAGCTGTATGCTCTATTGTAGACTCAAGTTTCTCCAGGATGCTGTGAAAGAGTTAGAGGGAAGGTGAGGTCCTTTGTGTGTGGGGTTTGGGGTCTGAACTGAAAAGGAAATCCCAATTTGTTCAGTGCCATGAGCCTTCTTGGGTAACCTCATCCTCAGACAACATAAGTGCAGAATAAGCACTCTGACCAAGAATGTCATGTATTCCCAAGCCCTTGTTTATATCATTGTGATGATTATAAATATCGCTTTTATTTTATTTGCTTTATGACACAAGTGATAGCTGCTCCTTACAAATAACTCAATAACTAAGAAATGGCCAGTCCCACTATCTTATTATTTAAATCCCATCATAGGGTCACCTAATTCTTGGTAGAATTAACACCAGGTAGTAATAGTGTTGTCACTAGGACCACTAAGGAGCACCATGATTCTTCTCCTCCTGTCACTTTTCTCCCCTCCCTTACCACAGCAGAGAAAAAAAAGAGACTCTTCACCATGGTCAGAGGTGATAATCAAGAGTAGGGATAGGCAAGCCAGCAGATAGCGTAGTTAAGGTGCTGGATCCCACATGGCCAACTCCATAGCTTGAATCCCATGCATAGGGGCTTGAAAATCACACCGGGTGCGTGTGTGTGCATGCCCAAAATCCCAAGAGGATAATGGAGGAGAAGGGATTGTGGCATGGCCATCCCCTCTGGAGGGTGATTTCTTACTTTCCCTCTCCTTCTGGTTCTCTTTTTCTCTGGTGAATGCACGTGTCCTATGGCAAACTCTTAAAAAATGGGACCAACAGTTGGCATAATGGTTTTATTGCTGGACTCCCACATAGTTGACTGTGGTTCAAGTCCTAGATCTGGTGCCCAGGCATGTGTGCATGCATGCCCAAGATCCTGGGAGAAGATTGGAGGAGAAAGGATTATGGCATGGCCATCACTCCTGGGGGATGATTTCTTGCTTTCTGTCTCTCGCTGTCTCTCTGGCAAGCTCATGTGCCTTCTAGCAAAAATCTCTTAGAAAAAAAAAAATAAAAGAGCAGGGACAGGCAACTGTGCCACTCTGGAGTGGACCAAGTATCAGGGCTGTACTCTGGGCCAAGCTCACAGATGAACTCAGTGGGAAAAGTCCAGAATCCTTGTCTTAGCCATTGTGAATAATGCCACTATAAACATAGATGTGCAAACAGTTTTCTGACTAAGCATTCTTCTGTCCTTTGAGTAGATACCAAAGAGTGGGATTGCTAGATCATATGGTAGTAATATTTGTAGATCTTTGAAGAATCTCCATATTGTTCTCCACAGTGGCTGGACCACTTTACATTCCCACCATCAATGTTGGAGAGTTCCTCTTTCACCACATCCCCACCAGCACTTTTCTTTTCTTTTTTTTTTTTTAAATGTTTACCATTCTGACTGGGGTTAGGTGGTGTCTCATTGTGGTTTTGATCTACATCTCCCTTATGATAAGGAATGTTGAGCATTTTTTCATATGCTTTTGGCTGTTTGTATGTCTTCCTTAGAGAGTTGTTTTTTCAGCTAATCTTTTTTTGGGTAAGCTGCTTGAGTTCCCTGTGTATTCTGGTTATCAGTCCCTTATCTGAAGCATAGTTTACAAAAATATTCTCCCATTCTAAGGGCTGTCAATTCATACTAATTACTTAGTCAGAAAAGTGCTTGCACATCTATGTTTCTTGTGGCATTATTCACAATTGCTAAGACATGAAACCAACCCAAATGTCAATGAACGGAAGAATGGATTGAAAAAGTGTGGCACATATACTCTATGGAATACTACTCATCCATTAAAAAAAAAAAAAAACAAAAAAGAAAACAAAACAAGACCCTGACTTTTGACAGAAAGTGGATAAATATGGAAGATTTACTGACAAGTGAAGAAAGCCATTATATGTCTCTAATGTATAGTGACTGTTTGCACTCTATGGCCAAATGTGTATAGTATCCTCAACTGGACTGGTGAGAGATGTATTCATGTTGGAATATTCATTTTATAAGCTAAGGGACATACGTGATTGAATGTACAAAATAAATTAAAATAAAATAAGAAAGTCCAGATTCCTAATGGGAGAAATGTAAGATATGTTGCCTGAGTCAGCTGTGAATGTGATGCACAGACACAAGGCTATTCTGGGCAGTGGAAGGGGTTTTGACCCAGGGTCCTTTCCAAAAGTGAGGGAAGAAAGGATTCAGGTTCACGAGCTGACTGCAGGTTTGTGTTTCAGGGTGAAGTGATGGTAGTATGGTGATTGTGGTGGTTCTTTCCATTTGGCCTTCCCCAGGGTTGAATATTGCCTATGTGGGTTTATGGATGGGCTGAATCTGGGAGTTATTGCCCATATCCACCACCACCCACAGTTAGAGGAAATACCAATGGTCAGCCTTGGAGAGAGAGAAAAATAGATGGTGTATCTAAGATGTATGAAAGGTGACGTCTTGAACCCTAACAGCTTGTGCCCCCCCCCCTTTCCCATCACTTTAGAGGAAAGGGAAAGTAGGTTTACAGTTTATAAGAAACTCTTAAGACTCACTCTCTTTATTAGTAATGCACTAAGCATCCT